TTGCAAAGTTTGTTCCCCACCAAATTCCTTCAGATATATTAAGCATCATCTTCACTGCTAGCCAAATGTCTGGTGCATCCCTTCATTGTGGCAATTATCACACATTTTCTTAATCTAGTCATTTTCATCCTAATTAAATGTTGGCTTCCTCAAAGGACCACAGATTTTTAGCCATGTCATCCTTGGCATCTAGAACACACCTGATGTTTGTAAGGCTTCCAGTGACTTTGATGGGAGCAAAGAAGTATGGTCCCAGAGGAGGTATCCTTGAACAAATAATGATGAAAAATTTCAAATTCAGTGTGATGTTACTTAACATTCCAGGATTTTTACTGATTAACTTACTTGAATACTAACTGTTATTATCTGTAGTAATGTCTTTAATAAAAGTTTGTAATGTTAGTTCATTAAAGACATTTACGATGAACTACACACATGTTGTACAACTAATCTGTAGTTGAAAAAACATCTTCAGTTTAACAATGTCAAATAATATTGACTGATTCTTACCGCCATCTTTGAAGGCAGTGGCGCCCTTGCTAGAGGATGAGGTTGGGGTGGTTTTCACTAAGAAGCTAAGATTGTTGTATTAATCTAGAAGACCTTGGATGTCCTAGAAAGAGGAGAGAATGGAAGAGAGGCTGAGAGTGGGGAAGAAAGAAAGTAGAGGGAAGCCAGTGTCAAGAGAGATGTAAAGAGTGATGAGGAAGTGGCCCAGCCACAGCAATCTACTGATGCCTCCTGAGAGCAGGACTCTAGATTGTGTCTAGCAGGGCCAGTCTAACCTGTCAGAGGGTGAAAGAGAAAGTATTTGATGGAGACTAATTTGGAAATCATTTCAACAAGTCTAGTTGGAGAGACACTACAGAACACCCAACAAACGAGTAATAAGTCACTGGCTACAAAGAAAGGCAGTCAAATTTAAAAGACGCAGACTGTTGCAAAATAGTCCCTTTCCTTTTGGATTATTAAAAAGGATCTAGATTGTGTGAATGAATGATCAGAAAGCAGCAAGACCAACTCAAAATAGAAAAGAGCTTGGGCTTTATAAGTATTTGCTTATATAAGTATTGTATTCAAAGGAAGAGCAGACTTTAAATTTCACTTTTTTCTTATTCCTGTTATTGTTGGTGTCATTAGGGAGATGGATTTGGGAAAATCATCTATATAAGCCTCATATAACATGCTATTAACTTTAATATTAGTATTATATTAATGTAATATGTATTTGTACATGTATTACCTCAATCCTGAAAAGCTTTAATTAGAAGAATCAGATCTAAGTGGAATGGTGACAGGGAAAGGCCATCAATTGCTGATAGAAGCTTTTATAGAGTAAATAGACTGATGTGAAAGGTTCTGGGAAAGATCTGAAAGCCAGGCAAGATGAGTCCTTTTTCTATACCTCAATTTGATCAAGTAAAAGAAACTGGTTGACATGGGGAGAAAAATCTATCAATAGTCAGAAGTCTAGCGCTGACTGCGTGGTGAGCCTTTCTTTCATATTGAACCAGTCACTTGAAAGCTGCTTGGTGAAGACAGACATCCAACAAGGGAGAGCGAATAAACAGGAAGTATTGTGTCTGTTTCCCTCAGAGACTGATGTGACATCTGACCTTATATTTGAGTTCTGTTTCTTCTTTAAAGGATTCAAGTCCACCACAGAATACTCTTCCCTAGAAGAAGGAAAGGAAATCTTCAAACCACTTTGTTTTCTGAACTCTTTGTTAGAGAAGTTGTGTGGTCCCCAAATGTCACACTGCCTATGGAAGGAACTCCAGGAGGGCTGTGTCAATTGCAGTTGGAAGCCCCGCCCACAGAGACTCTCTTTCATAAGTGTCCATAATAAGGCCTGGGGACCCAGAATGCTGAGAAGCCATGCTGAGGCTCCAAAACAACTCTAAGTGACATTGGACCATATGATTTGGAAGACAGAGTTCTGCGTCCCATACCCACTATAACAGAAATGGCTCTTTCTGTGACTGTTTTGTTTTCTCTGCTGCCAAAGATTTGTTTGAGCACAGATCTTCGATGCCTTACAAGGATCAGTCAATTATTTATCTAAGTCAATTTTGACCTGTTGATAAACACTATATTTTTAAATAGGACATTAAGATAATTGCTTGAAAATCACCATTAAGTCATCACCATATTTATAATTCAGTAATTATCTTTTAATTGAACCACAGAGAACAAGGAACTAAGGCCTCTGTGGTAATATTCTAATGTGTTGAGGTGGGATGGGATAAAAAAAGAAACCATAGACATCAAGTCATTTCACATGGTTAGAGATGCTATGAAGAAAAGCAGCAGAGTTCAGTGAGAGAAGCATCACAACGAGCAAGGCTTAGAGGGAGTTATGAGGAAAAATGTCACTAAAGAGAGACTTACTGAGAATTAAATGATGACAAACCAGATGTGTGATCTTCCAGAAGCCAGAAAACATAGTTCAAGTCATCAAAACATTGCACAACGGTGAACAACAATGAACTGGCTAGTTAGGCAACGGTGGTCTGAGACATAACGAAGGTGGCTCAAGCATGATTCACGTATGTGAAGAGGAGCAGTCTTCTGTTGAAGATGAAGGGGTTACGGAGCTGAGTTTACTGCATGGTGGTTGCTACATGTAGTGCTAAGAACAGAGATAAAGGTGCAACATATGAATTAGGAGCCAGAGTTTTCAAGACATGAAGCACAGATCGGGGGCGAGAGAAAGATGAAGAGACTTCACAAAACATGTTTCACAAACATGTCTCTCTGGGAGCTGTCCTGGAACCAAAGTGGACAACACTCTGGGAAATCGCCCCTATGTCTTGGCCCAGGAGATGCTTGGATTCAGACACTGAAGTTTCACTTACTTGGGACAGAGAAAAGTGAGCAGGATATAGGATTTCAGTAAGAAAAAATTAAAAAATAAGAAACAAACATTCTAGAATTCCCTGAAGCTGGGAGGTGAATGTGATGACCACGAAGGAGGTCTAGCAAAAAGGTGGATTTTGGGTTTGTTTCAGTTTATTTTGGGTGAGGCACAAAAAGTATGTCATTAGGTTGCATACAAAGACACACAAACCTCAGTGTAGATAATAATGAATAACTGAAAAAAGTTGAAATTCATTTTACCATGGTTTAATACCATTTTACCATAAAATAATATTACTACTTTTTCTGAAGTAACAATGGTTATAATTTTAATTATAGCTAATAATAATATTAATCTATTTACAGTAATAATAGAAGTATTAGTAATATAAATAATAACTTGAAACAGTGTTTGTTTGTTTGTTTGTTTTTTGCACAGGCTTTCTCTGTGTACCCATGGCTATCCTGGAACTTGCTCTGTAGACCAGGATGGCCTCAAACTCTTGGAGTTTTGCCTGCCTCTGCCTCCCTGAGTGCTGGGATTAAAGGCATGCACTACCGATGCTCAGTTGCTTGTTATACCCCTATGTGAAGTATTTCTCATGCACATCTACCAACAATTCTATGATCTTTCAAACCTACAGAAAATTCATATATAATTGATGACAACTTTGTGGTCCATAAATCATTGATCAGAACAAAGCAGGATTTGGGGCTTTGAAGAATCCTGGCAATCTCTGGAAAAAAAGAGAGCAGATAAATAGCTTTAGAGTTGAGAAATCAACTAGTTGGTTTAACAAGGCAGATGAGTTGAGACAGTTCTTTTATGAGCTACACAAGCTGGTTTATGGTGATTGGAAATTATTCACAAACTGTTGGTCATCTTATATTTAAGCTAGTGAGGACCCACTGTACCTGAAAAGTGACTCCGGTACTCATTTCCCTGATCTTTTACTCAATTGGTAGAAAATTCCTACTAATCTTTGAAGACCAACATCTATTCATCCACAAACTTTGAGGACAACTACCATCAACTATAGATCATTCTAGACACAGAGAATATAAATGATAAATCTAAGAAAGACTCCTCATTTCCTCCACTGTCCTCTGGTAGTGCTGTACTTTACCCTTTCTGTACATCATGTATTTGTTGGCTTTCCCAATAACATGCTGAAGACCCTAAATATTTATCAGCTATCTTTTCCAAGTATAAGTGATATCATGCCCACTCTCTGTTCAGAGCCCTTCAGCAGCTTCTTAGCTTTCTCAGAGTAAAAACCAATGTCATTAAGAGTTTTGTTATTTTTAGGGACACCACATATAAAGCCCAACTTCCATGGCTTCTCTTTCCCAGCCAATGCAAGAGATACAGGAAGAAAATAATAAAAAGATAACCACTTGGAAAGTGGACTAGTAGAGGCAAGAGGAACAAAGTACCTCAATCTACTTTTGATATAATTTTACACAAGACATCAAAGATATTGTGAATTCTTGTCACTTTCTGTAAGTAGGGAAAAAGGACAATCTTATATATAAATGAAATTAAAAAATATTTTGACTATATTTCTCGTATTATCATGATAAATGAATTGAAAATACACTATTTTTCAAATAAAAACATACATCACTTTTGCTAAAATGCTGATGAAACTGAAATTTTTCTAGGGTTTGATAATTAGTCTTGTTATAATTTTTATTTTGTAATTTATGAATTTGAACTTTTCCACATATTACAAAGTGCTTTCCCCTAAAACAACAACAAAGAAATGCTGTCTAAATGTGGCTCTGGGTTGCATGTCCATTAAGTACTGCAACTTGGAAATAACAGATTCGCTGGTGTCTCAAAAAACACTGACACAGAATAATTGAGTTTTATTTCATTGCAGTGCCTGAAAAATCAAGGCAGAACTTTCAGGGCCTTCTCATCTCTATCTTATAGTTACTCTTTGTTTCGTTTTGTTTTCTATTGTTAAGTTTTCTGTGAAAAACCTTACTACAAAATGTATATTCAGCATGCCTTGCTGAATTGTTTCTGGTAACTTATAGTAAGTGTACTCCTCTCTGTAGTTATGAAAACAAATATGCTCAGTTCTACACAGTTGTGACTGTGTGTCCAACATGTCTTCTTACTATTTTAACAGAACTCCTACATTCACATGCCTGAAGACCTAAAGAAAAAAGGGGGAAATCTGCTCAACCTGGGAAGTAAGATCTTAAAGAAGAATAGCCATTCACAAAGGGAGGATCAAGCTCCTGGATCATCACTAGATACCTCAATAGAAATTCCTCAAGGTGCTAAGCCTCGAGTTTTTCAGCAGCCCATCAAGATGGATTGGCCACTGGTCACTCGGCCCTTAAACAAAAGTTCAGTCCAAGACAATAAGTGGAAGAAGGCATATGCAATCCAGGAGAAACGTAGGTCCTTCCTTCATGAGTTTTGCAAGAAATATGGTGGAATAAATGATCCTCAAGCCAATCTTTACAGTATAGTATCCAGAATCTATGTGGAAGACAAGCACAGAGTCCTGTACTGTGAAGTACCAAAGGCTGGCTGCTCTAATTGGAAAAGAATTTTGATGGTCCTAAATGGGTTGGCTTCCTCTGCATACAATATCTCCCATGAGGCTGTACACTATGGGAAGCATTTGAAAACACTGGCTAGTTTTGACTTAAAAGGCATATACATGCGTTTGAATACCTATTCCAAAGCTGTGTTTGTTCGAGATCCCATGGAAAGATTAGTGTCAGCATTTCGGGATAAATTTGAGCATCCCAATAGCTACTACCATCCGGTGTTTGGAAAGGCAATCATAAAGAAATACCGACCAAATGCCAACACACAAGCATTAAATAATGGATCCGGAGTCCAATTCAAAGAATTCGTCCACTACTTACTGGATGATCACCGTCCAGTGGGAATGGATATTCACTGGGAAAAGATCAGCAAACTCTGTTATCCATGTTTGATCAACTACGACTTTGTAGGGAAGTTTGAAACATTAGAAGAAGATGCCAATTACTTTTTACATGTGATTGGTGCTCCAAAAGAGCTGAAATTTCCAAACTTTAAGGATAGGCACTCCTCTGATGAAAGAACCAGTACTCAGGTGGTTAGGCAGTATTTAAAGGACCTGGGTAGAGCCGAGAGACAGCTCCTCTATGACTTTTATCACTTGGACTATTTGATGTTTAATTACACCGCTCCACATTTGTAATTTGCATTCATTTTCTAAAGCCCCACATTGGCTTAATGATGATGGCCTCAAATAAGCTATTGTAAGTTTTCTACAATTCTCTGTATGGGGGAAATTTAACTAAGTGAAGTCTTGATTGAATGAAGTTTTTATGTTTTTGGGTTTTTTTGTTTTTTTAACCAAAGAGTATGACAGCAATTGGCTCAAAGTTATTGAAAAAATCATCTCAAGGAGACATGTAAACAACTTGATGTGCTTTTAAATGGGAAAAGAGCTGTTTTGGCATCGTGGCTTATACTGTGGAAGCAATAACCTAGCCAGCTGTTACATTAACCAAGAAAGCCTCTTGCATGTAAAATAAGGGGGTCAAAATGGTGAGAATTATGTATCCAAATCTTGGCACTCATCATCTAACATGCATGAATCTATTCTTAGCAGTCTGTGGAAAATACATCAAATGACTGGATACTTTTCTTATGCCCTGAATCTTCCTATCCACTGGAATGATAAATCCATTTTTAAGTGTTTGGGCATAGGCATTTTACTATTGATCTGGAGGCATTCTGTGATTTACAGCATGAGAATAGAGCGGAAAAACAGATGAAGTCGTGGCTTTTTTTAATTTAACAGCCAGTAAAAAATGCACAACATACTAAGATCAAAACAACAAAAGCCACCTTTCTCTTCTAGGAAAAACTTCAGGGGATTGATTTTTTGTGGAGGATGGGGAGTTTGAGCCCTCCATGAAGAGACAAAATGAGAACAACCAAGTAGGTCCTCATTTCTAAACATCATCAGATAGAAATGTGCTCTTAATACTGCTTTAATTGGGAAAGGGGCAATTGTTTCAGTATGGAACAATCATCAAAACCAAAAGCTGCCATTCTGAATATAGACCTCTAGCAATAACGTTTTATAAGAATATTATTTGAATCAAAGCACCATGTGTGTAGCTTTCTGTGTGGAATACGCTCTAAGAATAGCTTTTGTTTGCAGTCTAATTATTCCAGCTTGGGAATGACTTTTTAAGAACTAATATACCACTTCAAAGACAGGTTATGTTCTAGAAAATAAATATAACAAGAGCCCCTAGAAATGCTTTTAATAGGCTTATGAATAAGCAAATTAAGGTATTTTCTTCTTGAGTTAAAATATGCTCTACTAACAAAGTCAAAATACCATTGCAATCAAATATTAAATCAAAGTCTTGGGAAAATAGGACCATGTGTCATTCGTATGAAAAGTTGTAATACCCTTTAAAAATTTTTTTTCCGAGGGATCTTAAATTTAAAGGCACATCCGGATGAGAAGTGCCTTTTAATTAGTTAACTACTACCCTAACTTAAGCAAACCACAGGTCAATCAAGTCCTGTTAAAATGCCTTTCTTAAACATGTTTCTCTTCCTAAGCCATTATACTTGATCAGTAAATATTCAACTGTCTTGCAAAGGAAACTGTGTCTTAATATTTGAATATTAATAGACCAAGATTCTTATTCTCATACGTGTCTCATTTTGATTTTCCATTTCATGGCTGAGTATTCATGAATTGCTTCACTCTGTACACACACACACCCTATCTCCTCCATATCTCCACAGGAGAGGGTAAACTGCAGTGGGCCACGCCATCAAAAGTATTAAACATTCCACACCAACCTTTTACTACTTTTCCACCCCATTTCCTTGTGCCTCTAGACCATGCACTTAAGCCTAGTAATCTAAATTATAGAAATTAAAATGATGCTGTACTGGATAGAGTGGATTCCTACTAACTTAGCGACCTTAAAATTATCTTTTTTTTTTTGGATGGAGAGAAAAAAGATAAACATTACAGAGACCTGAAAGGTTCTTCTTGAACCACACAGAGCTCATTTTATTCAGGACCTGTTACAAAGGCTGTTTCTTAAAGGCATTCCTAAATGGAAGTAAGAAACAAAGGTAACATATAAATATATATATATATATATTATATAAATATAAATATATATAAATTATATATATATATATATATAATTTAAAGGCCCCTCACTTTCACAGCTCTGGAAAGGAAAAACTGAAAATACTGTTTCTCGTCTTACTATTTTTCATACACTAGGGAAGGAAACCTTTATATTCTTATTTAAATTTACACAACCCCATTGGCGGAGAAGTGAAAGACAAGGACAGTGCACAGCGCTGTCTCCAATAATCACTCCGTAACTTTTGCTGTGAGAGGACTGACCCCACATTACCCTTGCTTTCACTTGTTGCTGTTCCAGTCATCTACCCTCTTTAACCACAGCGTGAAAATGCTAAAAGGAACCTTTCAGACAGCTCACAAGTTTTAAACTGCGCACCGTCCTAACATAAAACTTCGCCCTTGCTCTCTCTTTCATCTGAAACCTGCATCAGCCCTGTAACTGGTGTGCCCATATTGTCTAAGCTGCCTGCCTACGGGTGGACAGTGCAGTCTTCAAGCTGACCTTCACGGGATTGCAGCGTCGTGTTTAAGTGCCTGTGTGTGATGATGTAATGCTACGTCGCAATGCCTCTACAGCTGACCTCACTTTGTCTCATCATCAAGCAAGCATTTCATCACTTCACATTATTACAAGAAGGGTGAGTACTTTCCAACAAGGTGTTTTGAGAAAGAGAGCATGAGAAAACATTGTCATGAATTTTATTATAATATATTGTCATACCGGCTCTCTTTTATTAGTTATTATTAATCTCTTACTGCATATAATTTATAAATTAAACTCCTTCATAGGTTTTGTATGAATAGGAAAACGGTATGCTGCATGGAGTTGGGTATTCCCTGTGCCTTCTGCACTGGGAAGTGTGGAGCCGTCCTTACCATGGATAAGAGGGGACAGCTCCACTTGTTTTCTGACCCTTTCTACGCTTCATTCATCCACCCTGAACTGTCCTCCTTTGCGGGCCAGCTCAAGTTCACATTTGTTGTATCTGCTTGTGGACATAAATCCATTTGGGTGCAGTACTAGGAGGATATAATTACATGAATGAAAAAGCAAGAGAACTAGTCCAGACTCCCCTTACAGGTGTCCAGCCTTCCTGCTGTGCATGAGCTGTGATTACACACCCTCTGATGAACCCACAAGGACCTATTTGCTTTAACACTGGGCAGTAGCTTGGGTCACAGGACTCTTCATTCTGCTGTTCCCAGCTGGAATTCCTATTCAGATATCATGTTGGCAATAAATCTAAAAGCCACAAGTACTTAACCTGGAAACCACCAACGCATAGGCATAATTATGTGATTGCCCCAGAGACTGCCACAGCCTTTAGCAGAATGTATAAGTACAAAACACCCAATTTTCTGATTTCCTCCTATGTGTTTGGAAATACCCATTAAGTCAATGGAAATGTGAGGCCACATGCTATCTTCTCTAACTTCACAGTCTATAAAATATTCCCCAGCAACTCAAGAACTACTTGGCTGCTCTTCATAATTAGAAGGAAGGGGGAAAAAAATCTTTCATTTTGTGTGTGTGTATATATATATATACAAGTTCAACCATGGGAATATATGGTTATATATATATATATATATATATATATATATATATATATATATATATATATATATACACACACACACACACACAGATAAACAGAATTTTAAATGTCAGGGTAGCTTTGATGCATATGTGGAGGAGTAAGTAGAACTGAGGGCAAATAGGCTGGGTGGTAGCATGCCTCCTCCTGCTGTGATCTCTCATTTGGCATCTTGGGGCATCTTCAAGATGCCCTGGTGTGTGGAGCAGCAGAAGCCTTGCCTACAGGCAACATCCTCAGTGTCTTCTACTATTTCAGAAAATACTAATCAGTAGACTTTACCCACCTGGGGACTTTAGACCAAAGTGAACTCAGTTTAATCCTAGGACAATTTCTCCTCAATTATAATTATTAACAATATCATTATACAGAACATTTTCCACATTTACTGTGACTGGGCATGCTTTAAAAACTTCCCGTACATCCATCTGCTTAGTACCTCCAGCCAATCTGGCTTCAATGCTGGTCTAAGCAGCCCCTTTTCCTCCCACATATAATAAAAGAAATTGAAGCACAGTGTGATTAGGTGAGATGTCAGAAGAGACACAAATGATAATTGGGTGAGGAGCCAGCAAGCCCCACTAACAAACTTATTTTTGGACAGAAATTTTCACTTTTTCTTTCTTTGATATAAAGAAAAGCTAAAAGTGAAAAATACATAGTATACTCCTAAAATATATTTTGAAACAGGATTTCACTATGTAATGCTGTCTGTCCTGACTAAATATGTAGATCAAACTGGCCTCAAACTCAGAGATCTGCCTGCCTCTGCCTCCCAAGTTCTGGAAAAAAAGCATGAGTCGCCACACCCAGAAGAGAATACTTTGAATATAAATGTAAATAGCCATGTATTTAGCTACTTGTTGCATTTCAGGTCAGCTTATCCTTCATTACTTCTGAGTTAAGCCAACAGTGTTCCGTGATTTAGAAAGAAATGAATCTTTAGCATCCGCTGCGTTTTTTTTTTTTTAAACTACACTTGCTCAGGAAACAGTACTTTTGAAAGAGTAAATGAGTCCATGCAACAAGCTTAGTCTAATAAAAACTCTTTCTTCTTCAGGAGAAATTCTAAATAGGCACACTCAAGGTCAAAGGGGAAAGAGAATGACAAAGAGAAAGTTCACACTAACTTTCCCCACATGGGCAGATAGCTATGTCTTGTGTGACATAAAGACATAAAGAATAATCTACAATAGCCCTATTTTTGGTGTTGCAGGAGTGAATTTAAGTATATAACAAGGAGAGAAAAGAGAGAGAGAAAAGCAGGAGGAACACAACACTAAGTTGGCTGCTCAGTAGAAACCAGCTGAGAAATCCCTTTAAGGCAGCCAGCTGGAGTTCTTGACCAAGAGGGTCCTGGTCAGAGCAAATGCTCTATCACGTGAATAACAAAAACAAGTAGCAATATACAGAAACAACATCATTAGCTTGGGTGCTTACAGCACCCTCTAGAACTTGCATGGAG